TCATAGGGTTGAAAATATACATTAAAAATTAAGTCCTTTCAAAAATATTCTGGCATTTTTCTTTTAAAGAAAAAAAACAGACACGTAGAGTAATATACCATATATGAATGTATTAGAAAATGTTCAGTTGCTGAATGTGTTCAACTGTTGTGGGCCATAAAACCAAAGAACAAATTTCTCTTGTTCTTTTATGCATAATTTCTCAATATCATTAAAAAACAAAAACTGAACAAAAACAAAAAAACTAACCCACAGTGCAGTGAAGGCAGGAAAGAAAGGAGGCAATCATGTATTTGTCTCAGGACATGATACAGCTCCCACTCAAGTCAGTGGAAAGACTCCCATTGATTTCAGTTGGGGTTGTATCCTGTTTAAGTTCCACTATACCAAACCAGATAAGTGGATACAAGTACTTCCTTCTAGCAGATGGAGAAAGAAAAAAGGCAAAGTTTTTTGCGGGGGAGGTTTAGGTTGGAGTGGGGGAGGTTTAGGTTGGATATTAGGAAAAACTTTTTCACTAGGAGGGTGGTGAAGCACTGGAATGGGTTACCTAGCGAGGTGGTGGAATCTCCTTCCTTAGAGGTTTTTAAGGTCAGGCTTGACAAAGCCCTGGCTGGGATGATTTAGTTGGGGATTGGTCCTGCTTTGAGCAGGGGGTTGGACTGGATGACTTCCTGAGGTCCCTTCCAACCCTGATATTCTATGACATCACTCTCTCTAAAAATGGGCTGCCTGGCTCTGATCAGTTAGGATCTTCTTGAGCAATAAGACTTCAGCTTAAAAAAACCTACAAAGAAAATTAAGAAAAAATCCAGGACAACTATCTGAAATCCAGACACAACAATAACAGCAAATGGATGCCTGGGTTTCTATGTACAGGATTTGGAGAAATCAAATTAACAGATAAGAAATTACCAGTCTCCAAGATCCTTCTGTGTCCTCCTAGACAAATGGGAACTTCAAGTACCCAGTACCAGAACAGAGGGTATAGTTAAGAAAAACTGAGAAAATGGATGAACTACAGCATATAGGACCTGTCTTTCAAAGGAGGAATGCTCAAATCTGTAATGATCTGAAAGATATACAAGTATCACCTGTTAGAGATCATGAGGTTGATTTTTTTTGTGGAGTAAGCCTTGATCAAAGAGCCACAGAACCTAAGATGTGGAACATATAACCTGCTTACACATAGGGGAACAGCAAGATAACCATTCTAAAAAACTCCTCATGTGCACCTGCTCAAGAACCAGGCTGATAGTCATAAGGCTCCTGGTCACCTTTGACTATCAGGTTTATGGAACAGAGGATCTGTCTCAGAGTGTATATATGTGACCAACTGAGATGACTGCTGAATAGGCTATCCTTTCATAGGTGAGGGAAGTATCTATAGATGAAAGTATTCAGCCTCAGAGGCAATGATTCTCAGAATATGAAAAACAGTACTGTCACTACTTTGCACTTTATTTAGAAACCTATACAGTCATTTAAAACATACTAAGAATAAGGACTCATGCAGTTCCAATTCCTCTAGCTAGATCTGACTCACTGAGCCAGACTGCCATGAAATTCAGGGCTACTATACCCATGAATGACTGAGAATGATAGAAAATTCCTCTCTTGCTATAAGAAGATTTGGTGGGCTAGGTCCTCACGCATTCATCTTTATGCTTTCTGTCCACAAACCTCAATTTATGCTGGTATGCTATATCTGGATCCCTACTACCTGGCCTTTAAACTCCAGGTTGAAGCAATGAGTTGCCTGATCTAGACTCTACCCAATAGATGAAGGGAGCCCATCTTTATGAAAGACCATAAGAATGGGTCCCTTTGTGCCCCAAGTTGGCATTCAAAAGGCTAGTATCTGAGAATCTATTCCCAGAACCTATTTGGGAATCCATCACTGAGTTCTGCCAATTACTGTTATCCTGCAAGCATCAGGTGAGATTATATATTAGATCCAGGGACAAGAACAGCCAGACAGAGCTCAAACTGAAGTGATCAATGATTAAGCAACCGCAGTTAGAGAGACACTTAGGATAATGCATTCAGAACTCGATATCCAGACATGTTGTTATGGATTCCAGACTGGCAGGCACACCCACGGTGTAACCAGAGCCAACTGGATTAAGGCAGAAACATGATTCTCAGCCTCACAATCCATTGATTAGGAAAGAACACCTTTGTCCCTCTTGGTACTTATATACCATACTGATAGGTGTCTTATAATTATCTAAGATGTATGGGTAAACCTTACCTACCCAAGCATGGAAATGTTGGAATGTTCATAAGATCAAGAACGCTACTTTTTTTCCCAGTACATCAGTTGCACAAGGACCAGCTAACTGGAAGAATGGACTTCTTAATCATCCCTGAAATACTGGGATCAATTCTTTGGGCTGCAAGAAACCCCACCAGGCTTTTCTTCTGAGGGAGCAGGGCATGATTTAAAAGCTTTTATGACCTGGTTTCTTGTCAGGAACAGTCCCCTCTCTGTCTTAAATGTCCTGAAGGAAAAGGGGAACTGAAGAAAAGTTACACCATTTCCTACAGTGTTATTAGGCATATAAGGTCCCCATTATTTTCAAGCAGTGGAGCACTTCCATTTACATTTAAAGTGCAGGCATCTTGCTTAACAAGCATGACTAAATCACCTCTTTTGAAAAGCCAAATATCAGAATAATCTTACATCCTGTTAGATCAAAACTTCTTTTCTGCTAGTGAAAAGATAGCATTGACCTGGAGATAAGAAGGATGAATTGACTAGTCAACTAAGCTGTCACCTCTAAGGAAATGTGGTCTGGATGAAATAACCAAACTCAGAGTAATTATCAGTGTTCTGCTGTCAAACTAGGATGAGGTATCTAGTGGGATCCCACAGGTGTCTGTTCTGGGTCTGGTACATTTCAACATTTTCGTTAATGACTTGGATAATGAGTGAAGAGTATGCTTATAGAATCTGTGGATGACAGCAAGTTGGGAGGGGTTACAAACACTTTGGTGGACAGGATTGGAATTCAAAATTACCTCCACAAATTGGGGAACTGATCTGAAATCAACAGTATGAAATTCAATAAAGGCAAGTGCAAAGTTACTATGCCTATGAAGGAAAAAATCAAAAACCAAAAGGGAAATTATTGGCTAGGCAGTAGTATTACAGAAAAGGATCTGGGGGTTATAGTGGATCACAAATTGAATATGAGTCAACAATGTGATGCAGTTGTGAAAAAGGCTAATATCATTCTGAGTATATTGTCATATGGAAGATGTGGAAGGTAACTGTTACGCTCTGCTTGGCACTGCTGAGGCCTCAGCTGGAGTCTGTGTCTAATTTTGGGAGCCACACTTTATGAAAGATGTGGACAAATTGGAGAGAGTCCAGAGGAGAGCAATAAAAATGATAAAAGGTTTAGAAAACCTGACCTATGAGGAAAAGTTTTTTAAAAAACCCTGTGAATGTTTAGTCTTAAGAAAAGAAAACTGAAGGGGGACCTGATAATGGTCTTCAAATATGTTAAGGACTGTTATAAAGAGAATGGTGATCAATTGTTCTCGGCGTTCACAGGACAAGAATTGGCTTAATCCATATCAAGCAAGACTTAGGTCAGACATTAGAAAAATATTTCTAACTATTAGGATAGATAAGTACTAGAATAGGTTACCAAGGGAGGCTGTGAAATCCCCTTCATTGTAGGTTTTTAGGAACAGGTTAGATAAACACCTGTCAGGATAATCTAGGTATACTTGGCCTGCCTAAATGCACAGGAATAGGTTATATGACCTCTCGAGGTTCCCTTCCATATAATCTGTGATCCTATGTCCCTTCTTGTCTCTATTTTTTCAAACTTCTCTCAGGGTATGTCTACACTACAGGATTAATCCGAATTTAGATAATTCGAATTTGGGAAACAGGTTGTATAAATTCGATTGTGCGCGGCCACACTAAGCACCTTAATTCGGTTTTAAACCACATTAATTCGGTGGTGTGCGGCCACACTACCCCATTAACTTAAACACAGTAATTCGGTGGTGTGCGTCCACACTAACCCTAATTCGAATTAACAAAATCGATTTAGGCTCTACTCCGTTCGTCGAGGTGGAGTACAGAAATCGATTTAAAGGGCCCTTTAATTCGAATTAACTGGCTCTGTAGTGTGGACGGGTGAAGGGTTAATTCGGATTAAGGCAGCTAAATCCGAATTAAAGTCCTAGTGTAGACCAGGCCTCAGAGGTCATGCTTTCTAAACATCTTGTAATTTTTACTGCTCTCCTCTGGACATTCTCTCCAATTTGTTCACATATTTCTAAGTTTGTGGTGCCCAGAACTGCACACAGTATTCCAGCTGGGACCTCACCCATACAAGTAGAGGGGAACAATTATCTACCAAGTCTTTCATACAACACTCCTGTTAATACACCTCAGGTTTTGCATATGACACTCCTGGGACCTCTCACACATGATTTACTCACACTGGACATACAACCAACATGGGACCTCACACCCTGGATCTACTTCCACTAAGTCACAGGGCCTCTCTATACACAGAGCCAAAGCTCTAACCAACTGGCTGTTAAGAGAAAGCCAGATGTGTCCAAACCATGCTTTTTTAAATGCTCCAAAGAAAAGTGAGGTAAAAAAAAAGAAAAGAGAGAGATTATTAGCAAAGTACCCCTGCATAAATAACTGTAACTAAACCCAGACAACTGGAGAGAGGAACACAGAGGGGAAAAAAAACCTCAAAGCCTATCCAGCCAAAAGAGCTGTATCCAACTGATCAGGATCAGTCAGTCAACTTTATAAAGGGGAACAACACATGACAAAAGCTTTACCTGGTCTCATGTGTTAGTAGGAGGAATTATTCCCCTTTATTTGGAGTAGCATAGGACAGTGGGGAACTGAGCATTATAAAAATGTAAACAAAACACAAACAAATCACAAACTGTGTCTTTGCATGCTGCCTTACTGCCACAAATAGCTCTACAGTACATCACATTTTTCTTACGCTGCTTTTAGATGAACAATTTCATCCTCTGCTGCCAAAAGGGTAGTGGCTGATTTGGTCTTTGTGTCTTCAAGAGCCATCTGGGCTTCTGCCAGACTGCAAGAGAAATTAATAACCAGAAATATACCTTTAAATTAAAGGTACAGATTCTCACATTGAATTTTGCATGACAAAGCAAATATTTTAGCAGACTTTTTTTTTTTCTTTTTTTGCAGGTCACCTGCATGCATAGTCTGCAAAAGTCATATCTGACTAAACTATACTAACAGAATTACTTATACAGCTCCAGTTACTCCATCTCCGTCCCTAATTTAGATGCCCCAATTTGTCTCCATTAATCATAATCTGGCATAATCTCTGAACATGAGCACTCCATCTGCAAACCTGCGCATCTCCAGCTCCACAACACTGCCTGTTTTCCACTGCCTTCATAGCATCACTGCCAAAATCTTCCTTAATTTTTCTTCTTAACTTAATTAGCACATCTCTGTCCCCAAGTCCCTGCTCTTTAGACTCCTACATGTGCAAAATATTGCTGCCCACTTTCATATGTGTATGGTACAAAGAAATGCAACTACGCCACCATCATCCTGTATCATTACCAATGATTCCCCATTTATTACAGGGTCCAGCTCAAAATTGCCTTCTTTTGTATTAAAGTCTTCTGCAGATTTGCTCCAGCCTACATAATGGACCTTTCTTTGTACTTCACTCCCTTCTCATCTAGCACTTCCTCCTCTCAGTCCAATTAAACAATCTCTTCCTGTTCATACCGAAGCCTTTGCTGAAATGCCTGTTATCTGGCCTCCCTATGTCTATGCCTCACTGTCTACCATAATTGAAAATTGGTTGAAAAGTAGTTTGTTTCAACATTTCCAACTTTTTTTCTTTGTTTGTTTTGACTGAAACAATTCACCAAAATCTCCACAATTTCCCTAAATGTTTTGGTTGATTCAAATCTGCCTTTTTTGGGGAGAAAAAGTTCTGGATGAAAAATGTTGAGCATCTCTAATCACTGTGCTCAGTAGTGTGATAAGGGGTGGGCATATGAGCCTGAGGATTGAGGGCGCAAAAATGGAGGCTAACTACTCTAATTGGCATCATCCCCCTGCAAACCCACAAGAATCAATGCTGACAGTTTCAGCATTAATCCCCTCTGTTATTCAGTGTTGGGGTCAGCCCACAGGAAGTCAGCACAACTCTTTAGTGAGCTGTACAGTAACTCCTCGCTTAACGTTGTAGTTATGTTCCTGAAAAATGCGTCTTTAAGCAAAACAATGTTAAGTGAATCCAATTCCCCATAAATTAACGTAAGGGGGGGAATAGGTTCCAGGGAAATTTTTTTCAACAGACAAAAAGACATTGTGTGTATATATATATAGACACACACACACACACACAGTAACAGGTACACAGTGATGATGATTGTGAAGCTTGGTTGCGGTGATGAAGTCAGAGGGTGGGATATTTTCCAGGGAATGCCTTGCTGCTAAATGATGAATTAGCAATCAGCTGAGCCCTCAAGGGTTAACCCATTGTTGTTAATGTAGCCTCACACTCTACAAGGCAGCAGGAATGGAGGGAGGGGAGACAGCATGGCAAAGAGAGACAGAGACACACACCGTGTGTGAGAGAGAGAGAGACGTGCATTGCCCCTTTCAGTACGCTGACCCCACTCTAAATACACTGCCTTTTTAAGTAGATCAGCAAGTTGAGACAGCAGCTGCTGTCGGCAAGCTCCCTCGGTCCTGAGCCCTGTTGTGTCCTCCCCCCTCCCCCCCCCC